GACAGAGAGGACCGCTGGTTTGAAAGGGGTCAAAGAGGCCGTCCGTGTCAAATTTGAACAGCCCTCTCTCAACAGAGGGGGAGGGATACGACATCATTTATCTCCAGTCTATAACACAGTCCTTTCAGAAGACTTCACACCCATTTGCACTATTCAGGTGACACCCCTGAGGACACACACAAACCTCCAGGTGGCCTCAACAACTCTTTAAAGCAGTGATGGCGAACCTTTTAGAGACCGGGTGCCCAAAAACCGCCCTGCACCCAGCCTGCCCTTGCTCTGCCCTCCCACCCCTCACCCTGCCCGCTCTCGGGGACCATCCATGGCCCGCCGCAGATCACGCAGGTGGCCCTGCAGCGCCATGATGGCCATGCCTTCCTCCAGCGCCCCACAGCATCATCTGCTGCCCAGCTGTCATGTGTTTGGCTGCGCTGCTCTGCCCGGGCGGCACCCGGGGGTGACTCTCCTCTGGGGGGGGCTGCTGATGAGGAAGGGGGGGCGGGGCTGGGGCAATGGCATGTGTACCCACAGAGAGGGCTCCGAGTGCCGCCTCTGGCACCCGTGCCATAGGTTCGCCACCACTGCTTTAAAGTATGCAAATATCCAGCTGTCTGCAAGGAGTATAAATCCTTCCATTTCCCCACCATCCAGTCAGAGCTGAAGAAGCTTCTTGGATGAGAAGCAAGAAAAACAAGAAAGTCCAGTTGTCTCCTGAAAAGGCACCTTTGGGACAATTGTGACTTGGAGGACTGAGAATCTCCATAGACCAGGGGTAGGCAACCTTGGCTCTTTTAGGACTCGTGGACTTCAACTCCCAGAATTCCTGAGCCAGCAGGGCTCAGCATGGAAACCTCTCCCTTTTCCCTCAGCATGGCTGGCTCAGGAATTCTGGGAGTTGAAGTCCACAAGTCTTAAAGTTGCCAAGGTTGAGGACCCCTGATATAGGGCATGGGTAGGCAACCTTGGTTCTTTTATGACTCGTGGACTTCAACTCCCAGAATTCCTGAGCCAGCCATGCTGAGGGGAAAGGGAGAGGTTTCCATGCTGAGCCATGCTGGCTCAGGAATTCTGGGAGTTGAAGTCCACCAGTCATAAAAGGGCCAAGTTTGAAGACCCCTGGTTTAAATATTTAAATGTTTTTTCCTCACAGTCATGTAATCAAAATTCAGGCATTTGGGCAGGGGTAGGCAACCTTGGTTCTTTTATGAGTGGTGGACTTCAACTCCCAGAATTCCTGAGCCAGCCATGCTGAGGGGAAAGGGAGAGGTTTCCATGCTGAGCCGTGCTGGCTCAGGAATTCTGGGAGTTGAAGTCTCCAAGTCCTAAAAGAGCCAAGGTTGCCTACCCCTGGTGTAGGTAATTCATCAATTCTCTCCAGTTTCCACTAACCCTCCTTTTCTTCTGGTTTTAACCAATACCTGATTTTGTAGAAGGAAAAGGGGCTCAGCAGGAGACACCATTGACAGCAATCTCCCTCTTCATTCCTTTCCGTTGCAGAATTGTTTCCGATCCAAATGGAGGGGGTGAAATTAACAGTAAACAAAGGTCTCAGCAACCACTTCCAGGTAAGAGTGACTGTGCCGCTTCGGTGGCTTGGCAAGTCAGCGACAGAGTGGGCAAGCTGTAGCCCCCTCCAGATGCTCAGTTCCGCCGCCCAGCAATCCAGTGGCTTGGCAGATGTTGCAAAGATCTGGAGGGGCGTGGCTCCCAGTGCCTGGAGGAAGGATTAAATTAATTCCATACATTCATTCGGCTTTTTTAACGGCTTGCTTTCCTTGACAATTGCCTGCAGGCAATCAACAATCCCGACACAAATGCCGCATTCTTAATTGTCATCAAAATTCCCTGGTTCCTCCTCCTCAGTATTTCCCTTCCACCCAGGCTTTTGGCCTTCAGTCCATTAATCAGTAACATTTATTCCACTAACGGCCAGCAAAATTCAAAAGAACAAAAACAGAGCGAAGCAAATAAATGCAATTATATATTAACCACCGGTTGGTATATTCATTCATTCATTCAATGCCAGCTGGTATATTATTTTTATATCTTATCAGCTCTAGCCAGCACGAGCAGGGGAGAGGGATGATAGGCTTTGTAGTCCGCCTCTGGAGGGCCATGCATTGCCCGTTTCTGCTTTCAGGGTTCCACTTTTTCACTGCACAACGGGGAATAACGTGCAGGTGGGCTCCTGTGCACGTTTTACTGGAAAACCATTGAGTTTAGGGTGGCTTACTCTGAAGTAAGTATTCCCACGTCACCAGTGAGTCCAAAACAGAGGTGAGGGTCTTCAGTCTCAGATGGCAGACACTCCCTGTCTCTCCCCCACCCCCTATTTTAACTTATTTTACACTTCACCGCTTTTTTGGGGATAAAAGTCACAAAGGAATGGGCGAGCTCTGATGTAGACACTGCTACGTCTGTGGTGACGCTGATGGGACAAGTCTCATTTTTCCAGTGTGTTTGTCCAGGGTCTTATATGCTGCTCCTTTTGGGTGCACAAGCTTAGTTCCCAAGCACGCTTAGTTTTCAAGGATCTTGCTGTGTGATCACCTGGTGGTGTTTCTTCCTCGCCTTGGCTAACCGTGGTGCATGTCTGCCTGGACACCTGCTTCTAGATGTTCTATTCTGACCTGAAGGTTCCTCCTGTTTCTTTCTTCAGGTCAACCATACAGTGGCTCTCAGCACAGTCGGCGATTCCAATTATCACTTCGGGGCAACGTATGTCGGGACAAAGCAACTAAGCCCCACAGAGGTAGGTTTATACAATACCTACAGTAGTGGCCAACATTGTGGAAACCTTTTGGGAAAAAAGTGTATTTTTGAGGTTGGATGGCTAATAACACCACTTTTTTTTTGGAGTAGTGCCATAAAATTATATATCAATGGAAAGATAATTTAATCAAGAACGTAATGCAACAAAGTTTGTTCAATTAGCTGTACTATATTCTATGAAAAGTTATAGTCAAATAACCAGAAAAAAGAAGCACAACTTGCTTAGGTGGATCTCAGGTAGCTTTCCTTCATCTGATGGTAGCCAATGAGCATGAGTGTTTAGAGAGCCAAACAGGTGTCATCTTGTTTTGGCAATGAGCCAGTCAGATCACAGTAGGATCCAGTGATTGATGTCATGTATTGAAGCTGAGAGGAGGACATTTGTCAGTGTGTTATGGGATCGCTATCAAGTTGGTTGGGTTTTTTGGTGTTCTTTCATTGAGTGAGCTTGTAAAACGTAATAAAATTAAAGTCATGGTGCAAAGAGTTGACTGGTTGCCCAGAAAGCGATGTAAAATAGTATTATTAAGTGAACAAGGCTACAGTTATAAAGAAATTAGAAGAAAAATGGGTGGAAACTTAACCAAAGGGGGCATTTCTACGGTACACTTTTCCCAAAAGGTTTCCACAATTTTGGCCACTACTGTAATCAGGATGTGATTTATGCTGCTTAGATACCTCTTGAGTAGTATCTTAGTTGGATGTCTGTTTCCCCTTGTGCTAAGATCTCTCTTTTTTTTCCAATTTGAGCTGTTCATTTGCGGTTTTAGAACAGTGTTTCTCAACCATGGACACTTTAAGAGGGGTGGACTTCAACTGGCTGGGGAATTCTGGGAGTTGAAGTCCACACCTCTTAAAGTGGTTATGATTGAGAAACACTGCTAGGGGGCTAGGTGGGTCGTTAGCCAAACAACAAACAGCCTTAGCAGACCCTGCACTGAGTATCTGGTTGAGCCAGATGACCTCTGAGTTCCCTTCCGACTCTGACATTCTGTGAAACTTTAGAGGCAGCATCAGATTGTATGGCAACCTTCCACAGACCCTTTTTATATAAAAGAGCACGCAGGTAAAGTACAAATGGTAAAATGCAGATACAGTATAGAAGAGGCTTCCTAGGTCACGGAGGTGATCATTTCCCAATATATTATTACTTACCGAAATTATAAAACAAATGCGTAACTCATGTGCTTTTGAGGCACAGGTTGTCCTTGACTTGCAACCACAATTGGGATCAGAAATTTGATTGCTAAGCAAGCCTGTCGTTCAATGAATCACATGGTTTTTAAGCGAAACCAGCTTCCCCCATTGACTTTGCTTGCTTGTGGGAGGCAGGCTGGGAAGGTCCCAAATGGGGATCATGTGACAATACACGCCGTTTGCCAAACGCCTGAATTTTGATCCCGGGGATGCTTGTGTTGGTTGTGAGTCTCTTTTTTTTCCCGTGCCATTGTAACTTCAAACAGTTGGTTGCAAGTTGAGAACTATCTACAGATGCTTTAAGATGATAAAATATCAATATAAGTTGGGGACCGTGAGGACTAGAAGACCGCTAAGGTCCTTTCTAATTCTACTGTTCAAATATGCTGTTTCTTTTTCTCAGGCCTTCCCGGTGCTGGTCGGTGACATGGACAACAGCGGCAGCCTTAATGCACAGATTATCCACCAGCTCACAAATAAAATTCGGTCAAAGGTGGCTTTCCAGGTATGTGTCTTTGGGGCTGACACCAGCCCCCCCCCTCTGACAGTTAGAACAATTAATCAGTGGAACAACCTGCCTGCAGAAGTTGTGAATGCTCCAACACTGGACTTTTTAAAGAAGAGACTGGATAGCCATTTGTCTGAAATGGTGTATGTTCTCCTGCCTGAGCAGGGGGTTAGACTAGAAGACCTCCAAGGTCCCTTCCAACTATTCTATTCTAATTCTATTCTATTCTTCTCCATTCCATTATTCTATTCTATTCTATTCTTCAATCCATTATATTCTATTCTTCAATCCATTATTCTATTCTATTCTATTTTCTACTCTATTTTCTGTTCTATTCTGTTCTATTCTATTCTATTCTTCAATCCATTATTCTATTCCATTCCATTCCACTATTCTATTCCACTCTACTCCATTCCCTGTAAAATTTAGCCACGGTCGTTTCTTCCAGATATGCTGACTTAACATTGAATCTGTCCCTTCTAAGTCACAGGGAGTGGATTGTGTATGGCTTTGAGTTGTAGACAGGTGCCACCTTCCATTTCCAAAATACTTTTGGGAATCGCACTGTACATTTGTAATTGTGTCTAAATGTTTATTGCAAGATATCTAATTGGCACCCCCTGCTGGTCATTTCTCAGTGTCTTCCAAATAAGCATGTTTAACATTTATCCAGAGTTTGTGTGTCAGTACTAGATATTTGCCTTGTCTTTGCCTTTTATTACATGGTGGCATTTTAATGGCACATTAAAAAAAATCTCTAGCTGTTTGCCATTTTGAATATTCCCCTGAATGGAAAGCTAGCTGTGAATCCTACTAAATTTATTCATTTGCACGTTGGAACTAAATATGTTAGAATTTTTTTCTGAAGCCACAAACGTCTTTCCTCTGCATACTTCTTGAATTGGAGACGGGTGGGGTAGCAGTTTTATGGCAGGGCTTCATCCCAGGCTGAATTATATGCTTCTATCAGGTGGATTCTCCTTCCTTAACAATGGGGTGCCACCTTTTGGTACAGGGGACCCCCTTTGCTAGAACCCCCAATTGCAACAAGCTTAAAAACAAGTATTAAAATGTGAGCCCTTTGGTGCTCTCTGAGCTGGGTTGTTTTCTTGCAGACGTTTCATTACCCAGCTAGCTAACATCATCAGTGCTAGAAGGGGGGAGGAGGAGGGGGAGGAGGAGGAGGAAGAGGAAGAAGAAGAAGAAGAGGAAGAAGAGGAAGAAGAGGACAAGGAGGAAGAAGACGACGACTGGGGTCTTTGGTGTTCACTGAGTTTGGTGGTTTTCTTGCAGATGTTTCATTACCCAGCTAGCTAACATCATCAGTGCTAGAAGGGGGGAGGAGGAGGAGGAAGAGGAGGAAGAAGAAGAAGAAGAAGAGGAGGAGGAAGAGGAAGAGGAAGAGGAAGAAGAGGACAAGGAGGAAGAAGACGACGACTGGGGTCCTTGATGTTCACTGAGTTTGGTGGCTTTCTTGCAGATGTTTCATTACCCAGCTAGCTAACATCATCAGTGCTAGAAGTGAATGGCGTTTGCGAAGGAGGAGGAAGGGGGGGGGGCTGTTGGGTCCTTGGTGCTCTCTGAGCTTGGTTGTTTTCTTGCAGACGTTTCATGGCCCAACTAGTTAACATCATCAGTGCTAGGAGGGAATGGTGTTTTTCCTCTGTTTATATACTAGTGGTTTGCCCTGTGGGGGAGGTTTTCTTGGTGTTTCCTTGGTTCGTCTGTTGTCTACTCTTTGATTCTTTGAGTTAGTCATTCCTTGATTGGATTATTGTTTACTGCTTGACGGTTGGCTTAGTATTAACCTTGGTATTAATCCCTGCTTATCTGGGTGTTGATTGCTGGCCAGGAGGTATTGTGGGGTTTTTTTGCTTCCTTTGGGGCTTTTTTTTGATGGTTTCTTTTGAATGGTGTGTAGATGTTGTTTACAAAAGACCGACCGTCAAGCCGTAAACAATACCCCAATCGAGGAACTATCAAACCCCCTCTCCCTTCTAGAAATTATAATGTTCCCTAGTTGGGTCATGAAACGTCTGCAAGAAAGCAGCCAAGCTCCAGAGAGCGCCAGGGACCCCAACATCCTCTCCCGCCTTGCCCTCTTCCTTTAAAAACCCCACTGCCCTCCCTCTAGCACTGATGCTATGACTTAGTTTGGTCAAGAAACATCTGCAAGAAAACAACCCAGTTCAGAAAGCGTCAAGGATCCCGCTGTCGTGGTCACATCATCGTCTTCCTCCACTCCACAAACCCCCCCCTCCCTTCTAGCACTGATGATGTTCCCTAGCTGGGTCATGAAAGGTCTGCAAGAAAATACCAAGCTCGGAGA